GGTATGTGCAGTGTCCTATGAAATATATGTACCAAGTATCATTGAAATGTGATGATTATAAAAGCTGAAAATTAATTAATTATGCAAATTAGCGAATTAATATATACTGATATTACCCTAAAAACTATCAGGTCTGTGCAGTGTCCTATGACATCTATGTACCAAATTTCATTGAAATGTGATTACTACTTGAAATATCAAAAGCTGAAAATTAATTAATTATGCAAATTAGGTAATTAATATGTACTCATATTACCCTAAAAACTATCAGGTCTGTGCAGTGTCCTATGATATCTATGTACCAAGTGTCATTGAAATGTGATGATTACTACTTGAAATATCAAAATCTGAAAATTAATTAATTATGCAAATTAGCTAATTAATATATACTGATATTACCCTAAAAACTACCAGGTTTGCTCAGTGTCCTATGACATCTATGTACCAAGTTTTATTGAAATGTGATGATTAGTACTTGAGATATCAGTGGAAAAGCCGAAAATTGATTAATCATTATGCAAATTAGGTAATTAATATTGCACAGATTTTTAATCAAATCTGCGCATTAGTTTGGAGCATCTATGTGCCAAGTTTCATCAAAATCCAATGAGTGGTTCTTTAGATATCAGTGGAACAGTCATGGAACAGCTAAAAATCAGCTAATTATCATGCAAATTAGGTAATTAATATGCATGGATGTTTAACAAAATCTAATCAAACCTGCGCATTGGCCCAGAGCATCTATGCACCAAGTTTCATCAAAAACTGATGTATGGTTCTTGAGATATCAGTGGAACAGACGGACACACACGCGCACACACACACACACCCACACACGCACACACCCACACACCCACACACACACACACACACACACACACACACACACACACACACACACACATACAGACACACTAACTGCAAATACTCCCTTTTTGTGCTTCGCACACGGGAGTCAAAAACCATATTTCTTAATAGCAATGGGGTAAGTTGACAGTAATCGATGTTCTTGTAGGTGATTTTTCATGCAAATGACTAGGACATTGTTCTTTGAATATGTGCTCAAGTGTTAGGCCATGTGTTGCTAGTTTTTAGTCTTACAAGCTACGAAACAGATTCAGGGGATTCACAAAGTTGTAAGCAGTTTTCCGTTTGTGCCTGTTGAGGGGATCATTAAGGACACACGGTGTAGTTGTAGTTATAACATATTGAATTGTGAATGTTTCAATCGGTATACAGTACAATATGTTGACATAAGTTGGTTGCTAAGCGACAGCCTCACGGCTACACCTGGAGATAAATGTTGTTGAACAACAACGACTAAATAAGATGACCGACCGACCGACGACGACAACAACCCGGAATGAAAGTACTCCCTCTTTTTATAGGGGAGGGGTCATTGGTCACATGGTATTCGTAATGTACCTAGATTGGCTAAGCATACCAGCAGAAATGTAAATATAATTGTAATTGGCGTACTGGGGGTTAATAATTGTATTAAGTGTC